AAAAAAAAAAAAAAACAAATTTCGAAAAGGAAAATTTTTTTCATCTAGCCGAAAGCAAGTGTTTCTGTTAGCTGTTTCTTTTTTGTTATAAATTTTCATTTCCAAACTTTATATTTATTGCATGTTTTGAAATATTACTGTTATCGTGGATTTTTGGGTAAAAATGAATGGAATTGAAATTTTTCTTGAATTTAAAGAATTGAGTGTTATACTTCAAATTTTCCATAATTATATAAAAATTATTGTTATACATGTTTATTAGCACGTGTTCTCCTTCTATATACGAGTTGTTTATTTTATAAAACTTTACAGTAGTGAGAAATTCGTTTGTGCCAAATTTATACTGAGATAAATATAAATATCCGAGGATAACAAACTCCAGTTAGCACATGAGTTATTCTAGTATTCGTTAAAATGCTGAAGTGTCTCCTGATTTAGGAACAAAGTGACTTATGCCACTTACCAAAATAAATATATACATTCGATCGACCCAATTTTTTCCCTACATCTAACAATTAAATTAAATCCCAAATTCCATACGTCACCTTCCGTAATGGAAATGATACCGACCTCTCGAAAATAGTCTCCCTCACCTCGTGCCAATCCAATTCATATTTAATTTCATCCGTCTGAAGGGAGGAGAATCAATGAGGAGTACAGCGAGAGCAATACAAACAGCGAGAGAGACGACTTAAAACCAGAGACAGAGTAGTCGGCGAGACGAAGCACAATGCACTTTATCCTAGCAGCAGTTTCAGCGGTGGGCCAGCAGAGAACGCGGTTGAAAGGTAAAAAGAGCATGCCCGATCTCTTAGTTGGCTCGTTAGCCGGCGAGTTCTTTCACCTTTTCGCCGACTGTTAATTATCTCTATGGCTTCCAAGAGACCGCGCGCCATCTCGGCGACCACCAATCTCCTCCCCTCCCCCTTCCACGGGGCAGCCCCTTTCTGCATCCCGAGCGCCGAGCTTACGAGTTCGATAATCGTTCTTCTGCCACGATAAGCCCTGATTTACGAGCTTTTCAGCGTTCTTAGGCCTGCCTAGGAGAGACTTCTCAGCTAACTTCTGGACAATGAAAAACACTGTTGTCCGCAGTTACTCATCCGCGAGCGCCTAGTTTCGCCCCCTTGGCTGCACGCTACTTTCCGCCGAGTCGACGATCCATTTTTCTGTCAAATCGCTCGTGCATTGCTACCGCTTGTGCATTTTCTTCTCCTCCTCTTTCTTTTCCTTTGCTGTTTCTTTCTTTTTTTCTCTTTCTCTCTCTTTTCGTTCCTCTCAGGAGCCACGATACTTATCGACACTTCCAGCAGGCTGGCTTCACTCGACGATTTATTTTTCTGTGTTCGATACGTGT